TGAAAAGGTATGAAAAAGATAGTGATGGGTTTCACACTATCCAAAACAAAAAAAAATAGTGATGGGTTTCTTCGTGAAGAACTCCATTAGAAACTCTCGATACCACCACATAGATTTTTGTAAATGGTTAATTTATTTTCAAATGTTAAAATTTAATGAAATAATTACATTATATTAAGATATTAGTATTATATTAATTAGAAATCCATCTTAGAAATTCTATCATTGTGGATGTTCTAAACCGTAGGAACAAACTTAAAATCACAATAGCGGAATCTTGAATTATATATGGTATGTGTTTTACATTCAAAACACGGAAAAAAGGGAAAATAGCTAAAACAGGTGTTCGAACCCAAAAATTATGTTATTTGAATTGAGAACGTTAGCTAATGTATTGAATTTAGTGAAATTCTCTGTTTAGTTTCAAAAAATATATGCAAGAAATTTAAAAAAATATATTTACGATTTTGCCATTCTTTAGTTTTGTAAATAAGATGGTAAAACTTCGGTTATTTAGTGAACATATTTCTTACATTTTTTACTAAAATCTTTCTTGTTTTCTTTTGGTAAACGAAAAAACATTGGAGTTGGAATCTTGCACTCTTTGGTAACATAATAAAGGATTTGGTCACTAGCCATCAAAACTTCAGTCAATCGAGACAGTGTAAATAGTAGGAAATGAGTACCGAGTCAAATTGTCTGGGACACGAATCAATTCCTCATTTTCCCTTTTCAGCTTTTCTATTTTTTTTTTCTTCCGAAATCATAAAAAAGGAAAAGAGAGTGAAGTGTCCTCAGAGTTCAGACCAAACCAATTCCTTGTGTAATAAATTCACCTGCTTCCTTCTTCTTGGCTTCGTGACGAACGATGCTCTGTCTCAAAGCTGAAGCTCTTCATGAAGATCAAACCTTACCTGCGTCATCTTCTTCTTCTCCAAGCACCGATCGTAGCTCCGGAAATACCACTTTTCGTCTTCCCATCAATTGGTTGGTTCACTCTAAA